CTGTCAGTGTAGTTGGACAATCATGTCTTGGTATGTTTGCAGTTGTGCCATACAGACTCCAACATCTTAAAAAAGTGAAAATGTTCAAGGGGCTCGAGTTCATTTTCAAGGCACCACTGCGTCCTCTTCACAAGTATGGAGGCAGACAAGGCATGAACAGGTGGAAACCCAGGGCCTGTGTGCAGGTGTGTGTTTTTGTGTGGATTTGCAGTAAGCTTGCTTTAAATAAAAGATTAACCCGCATGTCCCTGGCGTTTTATGAGAGCACCAGGCAGAAGCAGTTGCGTAAGCAGGCATGAAGGTAGGTGAGCAGGCAGCCGTGCAGGGAACAAGAAAGACACCCAGGGGTGGCTCTTCTGCTGGCTGAAGTCAGCCAGGGTGACAGACAAAGCTGAAGTGTCTACGCCTGCCAGCACTTGCCTGAGCCTCACGCCATCCTGGCGTCATTGGATTTGACAAGAGCAAGTCCACAGGAAGCAGCGAGGATGCTGAGGACCTGTCTGTCTCGCATACCTCTGAGAAGTTCAAGTGCTAACACCTTGTCAGCAGGTTAGTCAGGCCTCAAACACAACTGGAAAAACAGAGGTGCAGAGAAACGCATGCCAATTATCGTTTGCTCAAAGTGCGCCTGATCACGTTTTAAATACTAAAGCTGATACAAAAGTAGAGCCGCTCTTACTAATAGTTAGAAAATTTGCATCAAAGTGCTTTTGTGAATATTTCTGTGAATTTTTCTAAGAACTAAAAAGCAGCTCTGTACTTTTCACTCAGAATAACGGAATATGAAAGGAGACGGGTGTTGTAATTCCCACCACTATGAATAATTTGGAGCTACTGAAATCCCTAACCCTAAAGATTCAACGTAGCAAGACAAATACTCTCCTCTTTAAATCTTGACACACTCAGAAATTTTAAAAGAAAGACTCTAAATGTCGATCTTCCTCACATTCATTTGCACATTTTAATGATAGATGAGGAAAGGCTTCTAATGTGCGCTTCAGCCTGGAAAAAAAAAAAAAAAGAGATCTCTTTAGACTTACCACCCTCCCTCTCCCAAACCTGGCTTAGTCTGTTAATGATTTGGATGACTGTTAGAGAGCATGAAGCCTCTTGGCGTTCCCTGCTGGAAGGAATCAGTGCTTTGTTAGCCTAAAAGTTTGCACGGGAAAATTGCACCCATGGGAGAGCAAAACAGGCATACACCGCAGGGGGAAACAGAGGGAGGGCAGGATTTATTTATAACACTTTTTGCGTCGATGCTAAGTCATCACATAGTCCTTGTAGTGCAGAGCAGAGATGCACCATAAACAGCTAAGAAGTGAGCGAACAAAGATCCTCATTCCTCTCAGTCCCCATTTAGGAGCAGAGCAAATTTACAGCGACGCTCGACGTTTCTCAAACTCTCTCCAAGTATCTTACGCTCGCTCGGTTCCTCGCTGCGCCTGCTTGGCAAATCACACTTGAAGCGAGGGAAGAGGGGCGGGGGGGGAGAAAAGAACCAGGTGGAGAGAGAACGTGGTGATAGCGATGATGATAGCATGTGGTATCCCGGGGTTATTTTTGCACACAACATCCACCATTATCCTGACGTATCTGACTCTCAGGCTCCATTTTGTGACCCATTACGGCATAAGAGGAAGATGGTCTTAAAGAGGAGCCGTGTAGCTGCAGAAATATGCTTCAAAGAGCGAGAGCCCAGGAGGAGGCAGCAGTGTTCGGCCTGCAGCAATCCCCGGTTTAACAGTCAACCTGTCATTTCTGTTGGACTTTTAGTTAAGAGGAAATCAAATTTAATGATTTAGCTCACACAAGTATCTATGCATGGGGTGTGTGTGTGTGTGTGTGTGTGTGCGTGTGTGTTTTTTTCTTATCCCTACTATGAGTGCCTGCTTGCCATCCCATGGCTTGGTGATCTTGCCTGCCTGCCTGGTACTCTTTAATGAGATTATCAGGAGTAGAGTGTCAGTAAGTAGGATCTAAAATGAAAGCCATTATGGAGCATTATCAGGGAGCTGCGCCACCCTCCCTCCCCCACACCCACCAAAGATCCATCTGCCGCATGGCCACCCACACAGCCACTACGCCCAGATTACAGCCGTGATTAGCACCGCAAAGTGCTGCTTAATTTAAACACCTCTGGAGAACATGTGGCACTTTGCTGCACGGCTGAGTCGCCATGCTTCAACACGCTGAGGACAAGGACGCCGTGCGCATCGCTTAAAACGAATCTTCTCTAATGCCTAAACTGTGAGGCTCGCGCACGAGCCCAATCAGGCCGTGTGATGTTTGATTTCTTGAGTAACAGAATTTTTTATGTTAACACGCACCTTAAACAAATGCGATTTCTTACTTACCTTTTCCTCAACCGATGCGATCGGTGATAAGGTTTTTGTTAAAAAAAAAAAGGCATCACTCTCCGACCAATTAACCGTAATAATACTTCTGTTTTAGTACAAATTAATACCGTCTGAAAGGTAATAACTTTAGGAAAATGTCTTTGACTTAAAAAAAAAAAAGAATAGGATTCAGTCCAGTGAATACTTTAGACTAAAAGTGCAACTCTTCAGCCTCAGATGGACTTTAACCAACAAAACCACCGTCTGGTTAACTTTCCTTCTTTCATTTCACCAAAGGTGTTTGTCCATATATAGCTCTGTTCAAAATCACCAACCAGATCAATCGTGACCGTTGGTAGAAATTAGGTTTTTACATGGCCAGTAACATGGTGGTAAGCGGAGGAATATAAAGATGCGAGCTGCTGTTTCTGGACAGCTGAAGCATTATTAAATACTAATTATTATGCAAAATAGTGGCAGTCATAATGGAAAACAATGAGGTCATTCATTCTGTGAAAGAAACATGTAATGAGAATGAGAAGTTGTCTAATAACTGGCCTGTATAAGGCAGAAAATGTTGTACATGCTGGTTATAGTGCAGTTCTCTGTAAATCTCTCCTTGTTTATCAGGGAGTAGATATAACATTCTGCTGTTGGTGGAAAGAACTTGAGATGTTTAAAAAGTGTTGTTTCCTCTAAATCACGGCTGAAAACATGTTTGCTTACAAAAGCTTTTGATCAAACAAACTGACTAATGAACTGTTTGGTTCATTAGTCAGATGTGGTTCTTTGACACTTATGCTTTTCTTATGATTTTCTTTCCGTCTTCCCTTTGATGTCCTGTAAAGCTCTTTGAATTTCCTTCTGTATAAATGATGTTATAGAAATAGGCCTGCCTTGTACGTTATCCCTTACTCCAGACATTGATCAGCTACAACATGCCATCAGTAAAAATATGAATGGAGAGAGAAAAACAAAAACAGCAGTGCAGAAAGTGATAGGTTAGATCAGAAAAAATGGGGAAACGAAGGAAAACTATCCTTCTAATGAATTACAGGATGTGCATTATCAGCTCCAAGATGACTGACGAAAGTCTACAGGGAGTACTGTAGCAATTAGAAAATACATATGTGAAGACAAGCTTTTGATAAAAAAAGCATCTGCGAAGCTACGTTGCTTACAAAAATGAGTGGTGGCAGAGAACACACTGACTGCAAGAAAAATGATGCAACTTTTTATGGATCAATGAAAGAGAGGTTATTTCTGTGGTCGAGGACCTACAGACAGCTTATCAGATGACGCACAAAAACTGAATTCAAGCCCGAGCGCATCGTTATGCATGGTGGCTCCGGCATTATGACACTGGATATTTATTGGAACCTGGGGATCTGGTCTGTTTGTTCCAGCGATTCATATCATGGATCACTTTGAAACCATCAAAATGTTATTGCTTTACTGTTGCCTGATGCTAAAGAGGAAGCGTTTGTTAAATGGGTGTTTAAACAGCCTGATTTTCTGGCTTTAGTTGAAAAGGAAATCTGCAGGTTGGCATAAAAATGATGTTTCTATGGCAAAATCAAGCCTTTTCGAGGAATCATTGAATGTCGTCTAGTCCGTTTGGGTTGGAGTTCCTTCTCTCTGGTGCAAGTTGGTCAAATCCTTATAACAAAGCTGTGATTTTACAACTACATGTATGATTTGCAGCCAGGCTTACATTTCCTTTACAAATTCAAATGTTTACTTCACGACCAAAAATGCTTCGACACTAAAATAACTTTCTCTTTAGTTTTTGTACAGTGATAATAAACCTCTCAGTGGCTTGATTTGGCATGGATGTTCAAAATGTATTTGAGTGAAGGCAATTAAAAAGTTTATAAGTGTTATTAGTTCATTTTTAACCTGCTGGAATTATTTCGAGTGCAGCTATAAGTTAAATCAATTCATATCTTGGTTATATATGTTTACTGCACATAAAATGCAAAGATCAAGCACATCAAAAAGCACAAAATAGTACTTCAACAGTACAAACATGTTGTTCAAAAGTAACTTTAAAACTGACTTGTTTATGCTGAGAAACTAATATATTGCAATCTATCGCAGCAGATGTTTGTTTTTTTTTACTCTGCTAAGGCTCCACTTGTGACAATAGCTGGCAACAAACATGAATAAAGTAAATGCATCCAATGCTAACTACCGCAAATACTTGCAGTTACAATAGTAATTTCCTCTTCACTTCAAGATTTCTTACCATCTGAGCAGATGTATTTTTACTGAATCTTCATGTATTCTGAATGAGCTTAACTAAATAAATGGCCCTCTTTCTATCGCCAGAAGGTTATATTATAATGAGGACAATGCATTCACACAGACAACCTTTAATATGGCAAAATAGTCATGTACCTATAAACAAACTCAGCGTTAATAATGACTTGTTTTCTTCTTAATGTGTAACTAAACGTCTACCTACAGTGGCATAATTTGTCATATACTTCAGTTTAAGCATGCCTGTGAATTGGTCGTATCAAACATATAGTTTTTTATGTTTTAAAGACTTAGTTGGAAAAATTCCCAAATTACCTAGTGATTTTCTATTACTTATAAATCTAAAAGCATAAAACAAGCAATCCTCCATCATGTGTGACGCAGCCAGGACTCCTTTCATACCTGTGATCTTATCGCGAACTAGCTTGCAGGACTCGATTTCGCCGATGCTACCGAACAGGCTGCGGAACTCCTCCTGGGTCATGTTCTGGGGCAGGTAGTTCACTATGAGGTTCGTCTTGCTGTCGTCGTTTGTCGGACCGGTCTGCATGGGCGAGGGGCAGCCGCGGCTGTTGGTGGTCGGGCCGTTGGCTGTGTTGCCTCCGCCGCTGGGGCCGTTTGTCACCGGAGCCTCCATGTTACTGATGATCTTTGAGAAAACGCAGGAGGAGAAAAGGGACGATGAAAAGAGGTTCACGAGAGAGGAAGGACTGAGCAGAAGGAGGAGACGGAAAAAGATGGCATTCGACAGGATGAGAATGACAAAAATGTTATCCTGAGAATCGTTTTTCTTGCAAATAAGTTTACTTAATTTGAAGACAAAAGCAAAGGCTGTAAATCAAGAGAAAAAACATATTTTCTCTACATTATTTTCCTCTAATTTCCATAAAAATAGAAAGTTGATAAAATGTGAACTTTTGATCCAGGAAGTTTTTAACAAATTTGTACCAGAAGCATTTGATCCTCCTTGAGTTAACTGCCAACCAATAAATGCCACATATTCTACATTAAAAAGATGTTGAATAATTTTAAAGTCAAATTTATTCAACTCTTCAAATTCCTCAACATTATTATACAATCCATCGCTCTTTTGTTTAATTGTTAAATCTCAACCTTGGAGAACTTGCTGTCTAACTAAGGATTACCATCTTCTTTAACGCTGTTATTCTGCCTCCATATTTTAACAGAGTCCAACCATTTTCTCAAACATAAATCAATGAAAGATGATTATTTCCTTGGTGCAGAATGTGGCTCTGAACCATAACAGTTCCACCACCGTGGCTCACAATTGACATGCGATCCTTTTTCTGAGGCTGCCTTAATGTGTCTAGTGCATTACTTCAACAACATGCAGTGTTTCCTATTGGCACACATTAACTTCTACCAGCTACAGCTGCAGAGTTACTTGCAGAATAAATCCTGGGAATGCTTCCATCTCCTGGTCTTGGCCTCAAGTTGCCTCCTAAAAGGCGATTTTATTTAGACTAGAAAGATTCTTTCATTGGTACTTTTTTCTAAAGCTTTCAGAGAGCTTTGTAAATCTTGGCATGGCCACACCTCGCCCTTCAAACGCAAAAAAAGGAACACCAGGTGCTAGTTAGAGGTTTAAATAAGACAGGTTTCATCTGTTACCACATACGGAGGCTGTGATCATCAGCAAATAGTCTGCAGCAGAAGCTTTCTGAAAGTTAAAAAGAAAAAGGTCTAGGATCGGTTAAATTTGTGTGTTAAACTTTTTTTTTATTTCTATTAAAATGGAAATTACAACAAACTATTAGATTAAGCTGACCTTTATTTGAGAATGTCATCTTTAGTAAGAAGGCAGAATTAAAGAGGATCAGAAAAAACTATATCCATATATATGCATATATTTTAACATTATAGATTCTCATACTGTCATGCCATAACAATGAAACATCCTAACTCATTTAAATCTTCCCTTTATAACTATGAATCTTAATTAATTCCAGATGTTAATGAAGGAATTAATATAATTCCTTAATGTTGCAAAGGAAAGTCTTCAGGAATTAATGTAAATTGACTATCAAATTGTTAAAAAGTTTAATCATTTGCATAAATACAGTAACAAACACATAAATCACCACAGACACACAAAGTACATTTAACATCTCTAAACACTCATAAATACAACACACACAAAAAAAAAGTTAAACAAGTAATACATCATAATCTGTTTGCAGTACATTGATCTCTACTGAGGACTGCAGGTAAGGACAGTATCAGAGGGATGCTGCTGCTGCTGTGACAGAGGGAGGTTTGCATATTTATATAGGAGTTTTTTTTTTTTTTTGCAGAGCATCTCAGGATCAAAGTGTTCACAGAGTGACTGTGAGGTCGTTGCGAGTGTGAGAAAACGCAGGCAGAAGTGCAAAGAAATGAGAGCCGGGGAGAGGTGATTTCCACCTTGGTTTTCTGCCAAAACAGTCGGACTTTTGATTATTTCAACGTTACGAGGAACAGTTAGATTAAACGTGTCCACGTGATCAAATGAAACATCTGTTGTGTACATTAGGGAGAGAGTGTGCATAAGATAGTAAATAGCCTGTTTTGCCACTCAAGCAAAAAAAAACAAAAAAAAAAACAGAAGAGGAACAGAGACTATTTTTACCACAGAGCTTAAATCCTCTGTTTCCCGCCTCTGATGGACTGCATTGATGGTGATTCTGCATGAAGAGTCACGATAACTAAAAGGTGTACTCGAGTCCTGTCACACAACAGTAAAAGCTCTTTCTGACCTAACATTATGACACAAAGAGCTGATGATGCCAACGCCCTTTAATCTGATTACATCAAATTTGTAAGTCATCGCTCAGATCTTTTATTTCCCCTTGCTCAACTATTCAGCTTTCGGTCTATTTTTAACTATCCTTAAGTATGAGCAGATAGGCTGCACTTGGAAGCTGGCTGGTTTTAGCAAAGGAGAAACGACAAGTCCTGCTTCTCTATTTCTGGATTATCAAAAGGCAGGGCTGGTGTTCTAATAATATAGCTCAAAGCACAATTTAAAAATTTCCTTCTGACTCCAGAAATAGTTTCCAGGGAAAAAAAAAAAAAGAGACCAAATTACACACTTTGTGCTAATTTCTTGGCTTTAATTACCTTGTATCTATATGGGATACAATAAATTAAACAACAGATTTTATTATTTAACAGAAAAATGTTTATACACATTTTTATTTTATATTTTTTCTAACACTTTTTTTTTTAGCAATGGTGTTCTTCATTGAATGTCTCCTGGACAACTGTCAAGTAATCTGTCTTTCCTATCAGACCGTAGGTCATAACCTTAAAAATGAGTCCTAAAAAGTTCACATAACTGCAGTAAACTTGTCGTCTAGTTTAACTCTGTCAGACTCAGATGATCTCTCCCAAATAAGTACGTCAGCAATGTTACTCGATGGATTACCTGGGGCTAAAACATCCATATCCTTTCCCTGATTTCTGGAACGGCCTTTAAAGCGAGGCTGTTTTTTTTTTTTTTTTTCCTAACACCCTTCTGTTCCTCCACAGAAAACCCGCCAGCCTTCTGCTTCCTGTTCCCAGCACACAAACGCACGCGCAGGTTTGCATCCATGCATCCGCAGTGAGTGGAAGAGCACGCACTCAAAAGGCAGCGAACACATACGGAGAGAGAACAATGGCTCGGGCCCACAGCAGAAAACAGACAGGGAGATGTCTAAAAGCTCTTAAGATGAGAGCTGCATGCAAATTGTTCTTTTGACAGTATCCTTCCCAGCTCACTCACCGCTCTGCCACAACAGAGATACCGAGACAGGCTGAGAAAGACGAGGGGAGAATGGCGTCTACTGTAGCCATAACAGAGTTGATTGGAGAGGGCCTTATTAAATCTGTTTACATTCCCCGCTGAGCACCATTCTGTCAGAGAGACTTTCAACTCCGTGGGACATATTCTGAGGAGTTTTTACACCAAAATGGCTGCCTCTAATTAACAGGGACCTGCCGAGTCTCAGCAGCCAATTATATTGCTCTCCTCATCCCTGCCCACCAGCGTTGGTGCTGCTCAGCGGTCCACTTCATGTTGGTTGTGAACGCTCCAGCTGTCCTGGCTCTCCCACTGTGGAGCCTGGTGCTGGGGACACAATTCATAGCATCCACGTCTTGCTGACTGCGCACAAACGCGGCGGCTTAACCTCAGGAGTTATATTTCAAGCCCTGCGTGGGACGTACAGCATTGGTCTTTTTTAAAAAGTAACACGCCCACTGAAATCCTACATTGAAACTTGATATAAAATATACGTATACATATATACATATGCTGCTGCTCATCTTCAGAGAAATAAAACACGGCTAGAACTATGAAGCCCTTAGGTTTATGGTGATCAAGACATTTTATCCTTTTATAACCTCAAACTTCACTGTATTTGATCCTTTTATGTTGCAGATCATCTGTAAAAACGGGCGAAAAAGGATACGTGGATAAAGTGTGCATTCTATTCACTAAGAATACATTGTTAAGCTGCCTTTAGGTGCAATTACAGCTCCCTGTCTCATTGTGTACGACTGTATCAGCTTTGAACATCTAGAAACTACGATTTCTGCCCATTTTCAATGGAAAATGTCTCAAACTCAGTCAGATGGAACAGGGAGAATCTGTGAACATAGCTTTTCAAGTCTTGACACAGATTCTCAATTTGAGTTATGCCAGAATGTTGACAGAGTAATTCTACGGCATCAGTATGGTTTAATCTAAACACTTTCATTAAAGCTCTGGCTGTACTTTTAAATTAATTGTCTACCGGAGCTATGGATCTCTGCAGCTCCTCCAGGGTTACCGTTGGAGCTCTTGGCTGCTTCTCCGATTAATGCACTTCTTGCTCAGCCTGTCAGATTAGGTGAACAGCCATGTCTTGGTAGATTTGTAGTTGTTCTGTACGTTTTTATTTCTGGATGATGGACTGAATTTGAAAAGCAACCTAACATGGAGCAACAAAGTAGCTCTATTATTATTATTTTTTTTGGCTGTTGTAATTTTTGAAAACCACGTGTAATTTTGCTTCCACGTCATAGTTATGCACATTATCTGCCACTTAAAGCCCCCCGAAATGGGTCAAAGTTTATTGCTGCAATGTGAAAATAAGTTGAGAAGCACAGTAGGCATTAACACAAAGCAAAGCAGTGCAAAAGCTTTGGAGAAAAGTGCATCAGAGTAATACTGAGAGGTTTCAAAAGAACTTGAGTGCTTAAAAATAAGAACAAAAAGCAAAGAAAAGCGAAGTAAAAACTTGAGAAAGTCTGAGTGTCTTACAGGAAGGAGATGTCCCTCTGAAACATCACATGAGACATGTGTGAATCATTTTAACCGCTAGAGCATGAATATGTAGAAAGAAATTTAAATTTAAACTAAGTGGTTGAGCATCTACTGAACTCCCTCAAATAACTACAAATGCTAAAAATGTCAGCAGCGGCAGCAGCTTCCTCTGCCACACGTTCTCCCTGCTGCCTGCGCTATAAAAGCCCCCATCCGTCAATCTCTCCTCTAGTTCCACCTGTCTCAGTCAGCAGCATCACCAAACCAGTGTGCAGTTATGTACACAGAGAAATATCAGATCATATCACTTCATGAGTGTGTAAAATGGCTGGGCCATCCATTTGGCAGAAGTAGTCTCCTTACCATCTTTGGCTGTGTCAGCAATCCCTTCTCTGCCCAGCCCTGGAGCTGTGGGAGCTCTGCTTGACGCCACTGTGTCTCTGTCGACCCCTATGGAGCGGAGCACAGGGAGGGAGGGACGCACAGCCCGCCGTCAACATCATACACTCACTTTGCAACGTTAGGGTTATGGTGGGATTTGGGGGAAGGGAGAAGGTGGGGTGATTAGGGTGTTGGCAATGTGGCATCGTTGTGGAAAAAAAACAAAAAAAAAACAACCCACTCTTGCACCTTTAAAGTCAAACTAAAACAAAGGCAGCTCAGGAGTGTGTTTCACAGGCGTGAAAATGGAAGTAAACACTGGGAATTGTAAGGCGTAATTTCTGTAAATGCTCAGAATTTCTGCAGCCCAAAGAATAACAAACGTGTCAATTGAAGCTCGTGGATTGGCGTTGTGGCTGCAGTGACCTTGGCAGAGTTTATAATGAGGGCTTCCCTCTTGCTCTCTGAAGGTAAACAAGCCTCTGGTTGAAGAGACAGAGCCGCCACAAATGAGCAGGAGCTCCGCTCACTGTCTCTCCAGAGCGAGGGGGAGCTTAAACGCTCGCAGCTACCTATGGATGCTACAAGAGCCAATTTAGCAAGAGAAGAGGAAGAAAGAAGGTATGACCTCTGCCTTCATTTACTCCCTCAGAGAGACGAGGAGCGGGAGTGAGGGATCAGTTGGGAGGATGAATAAAAAGGCAAGGGTTGAGTAATGGGGAAGACACTTCCAATTGTTCAAAGGAAGGGAGAGGCAGAGGTGGGAGAGAGGAGACGGAGTCTGTACATGTTCTGTTGTCAATGTGTCTTGTAAACTAAGGCAGGAATGCATAATGGAAGTCTAAATGAGAATGAACTGTCAGTTAGAGAGGAGGGAAAAGGAGAGGAAGGGGCGGAGAGGTCAAGGTAGAAAGGAAGACATGACATCTCCGAGCTAACAGGTGGAGGTAAATATTGAGATATTTTTGGCATCGTCACAAAGACAAATCGTTGGAGCCACCTCTTGTTTTCAGTGTGGTGGAGTTCAAAGGATTACTTTTGGAAGTGGGGTCGGGAAGAGCATCAACTTTATTGGGACAAATTGGTGATGAAGATTTAAATTAGTGGAGATTGACATTTTTCTTTGGAAAATGCCAAATATTTGTGAATAAATTAACATATTCACAAATGTCCTCCCAGAGTTAAAGTTGTGAAAGGACGATTCATTTAAGAGCTTTTCAACCTTTAATGTGACCTATAATAAAACTGAAAAAAATGACACAAAATAAGGTTCTGCCTCTGGTTAAGTCACTCTTAGCTTGATGTAAGCTTTTGGTCACTGTCCTGTTTAAAAATGTAGTTGCTTTTCATCCTCTGGATTACAACCGAGGTTTCCTACCTGGTTTTGATTATTATGTAATCACAATTTTCTTCAGCATGAAAGAAAAGCTGAAAATTATTTTGATCTACAATAAATAATGGCAGATAGGTACTGAAGATTTTTTTTTTTTTTTTTTGCTTTGCTCAGATTATTGATCACATTAAAGGTGAAAAAAATCAGATTTATTTTGATCGTCTTCTGTTTAGATCAGAGGTATGCAGAATTTATGCGAGAGTGGAATGTAAACAATGACGAGGATAGTTAAATCCCAAGAGCCTAACATGAATTTGAAGCCAAATAATTACAATTATAGCACAACTGACCAACATCCTTTAAATCAAATGGAAATGCAGGGCACCAAAGGGAAAGGGATGTCTATGAAGTATTCATATCAAAGAGATTTGTCCCATCCTCTACATGTAAACTTGAAAAGCTACCCTGAAAAAAGGAAATGTTAGGCAGAGGTGAAACATCAAACACAATTTTTACCCACTCTGCAAAGCCGTCACTTTACATACTAAGTGAATGGCGTGCTGCAGCAAGCAGACAATGCAGGGGTTTGGCTGTATGTCGAAATGCAGTGATAAAAATGTAGGAAGCAGCAAGCAGATGCATATGAATCTCATTTCCAACATCTAACGTGGCAAAGGGGCACAGAATGCCGGGGAACATGAAGCTGACGTCCTTCGAGGGAGAGTTTGTGGCGCCGCATCTCGTTTCTCAACTCCTTTTTTTTGACGCTCGGTGCTCAACCATTTGATTAAAACAAAACAGTCACAGGTGACACTCGCACACAAACACCCACACACAGTTTAACCTTGCTTTCACATCCTCGCTATCCTTGTGTTTATCTCACAACAGCACACGTGCGGCGTCGCTTCAGATGGAATCTGCAGTGCAATTACACAAGCCAACCACCGAGATGAAAAACCCGCTCATGGATACATTTTCAATTATTCAGGGAATACATTTCAGTCGGCTCTCAGATGCTGGAAAAAAGTTATTATATAATCAATACACTCTATAAGATCATTAATATTTGATGCCACAAAAGTGCTTCCCGTCTCCTTGGGCTTCCGGCCAGTGGGATCTGGGCACCGGCGTCAAAATAGGACAAGCTTTCTCCGCCTACAGCGGAGAAACGTTTGCTTTCCTCTAATATTTGAAAAACTGCCTCACTTAGTCACCTGGAGCGCATTTAGACTAAAATTTAACATGGTCATGATTGAGAGAAAGTCTGCCTTCCTTCCTTCCAGCGCGGTCAGTGTTGTCACTACTCGTCTGCTTTAAGTCAATAAAACTACCATTTTATTATTGCTGGCCTGGTGCAAGCTTACCTCCACCCCCCTTTTCTCCTACAGAGCTAAGACAATCAATTTACCCTGACTCGGCCAGGGTAGATGGAGGCAGGAGAGACTGCAGAGCAGACGCTGGGATGCAGGATGACTTCACAGATAGACGCACTGCCTGGCAGCTACAATATGGAGCCAGTATTCAACTAATCTGAGTTGATAGACTTTGTCTCCCAATCTTGCCCGAGGTTTTATTTGTGTGTTTTCATCAGTTTTTAATTAAACCTTGATCCTACATTTATTGCAGGTGCAGCGATAGCAGAAAGCACGCTTCCCCTTCTCTCTCTCTCTCTGTCTGCGCCCCAAAGCCGATACCCGCTCTCCTTCAGAGAAAGTGACTCTGAATTGGAGTTCCTATCAAACCGACTGAGACACAAAGAGATTAATACGACTTTACTATCTCAGTTCCTCGGCCGGTCGAGTTGCGTGTAATGCTCTCTGCGCTATTGATTTTTATATTTCTCTCTCCTCTTCCTGGCCGTCTCTCCCTCTCGCCATCGCTCCACCTCCACCAGCCTCTTCCGAGCCTCTGAAATGTCCTGCGGGTCAGACGGATGCTGGGCCGGATCAATCAGGAAAAGTAATCTGGGACGCCTCATGCACGCAAGCAGACACACACACATCACAGGTACTGACACAAACACACGCTCTTCCTGTGATGCTCTCTGGCCTGCCTGCCTCCACTCCCATCGATCTGCATCTACTTTACCAAATGGATTCTTCTCCTCTTCTATCCTCCTCCACCTCTGTTCTCCCTGTGTGACTCAGAATAATAAATGTTCCAGACTGCGCAAGATGTGTATGTAAGCAATTTTTCATTTAACTTTGGCTTGACTTTTTTCCCCCCCTCTCCTTCTCCCTCCTCCCTTCTATTTCTTTTTTCCTTTTTGTGATGTTTCAGTCGTTTATCGGGATCGATCCAGTTTTCTCAAACACCGCCTTGCAGTTCTCGGTAATAGTTGCATGCTTGTGTGAGGTCAAATGTCATGATAAACTGAGCCCTAAATTACATCAGGCATCCTAAACAGAATCTAAATTTACCGAGGTACTACAGATGTTGACATTATTTATTGTGCTTTTTTGAACTAAAGTTCCAGAGTTCTCAACGTGCCATGTTCATTTTAAAATATCAACTACAAAAACGTGAATTTATGCCAGATATTTCCGCAGAGGATGGTCTGTGATTATGAAACCTCAAAAAATAGGAAGGGAGGAAAGAAGGAAGGAAGAAAAAAAGAAAGGAGGGGAAGTTAATCAAGCAAGGAAATAAGGACACGTGGAATGGAGGAACAAAATCTTAAGGAAGGTAGATAAGTAAGGGTAGGCACTGAGTGCTTGAAATTTTGCCCAATTTCCATTCTGCACTTTAACTTTTAATACGCAAGTTTTGCTACCCACTTTAACAAGACATAGCTTAGCTTCAAAGCAATATTTTATTACTTTCTAAAGAGGCTCCTCGCTTATTTTGGTTTCATCAGGGGACATTATCTGTCAGTTTTTTAAAGAATCAGCTGCTTCTATCATGAATCACAATCTAAAACAATAAAAGTGTGCCGTTAAATAAAATCCTCGTAAAATAAATTTACCGTTGAGTAGGAACTCACTTTTTGACAGATATGAAATCGAATGAGGAAGCAATGGGGAGCCCGAATTGGCAAAGGGGTGAACTTACCCATAAGTATTATCGGCAGGCTCACACCAGCGTCAGTGTAAGAAACATGCACAGCTCAACCCCTTACAGATGTCAATTTCATACTTATAGATTGTAATTTTGTTCTTTTCTGCTATTTAAAACCTGCAAACTAACAATTTCCTACTCGTGCACCATTTTTCCAGTTATGGAAATTGCCATTTATTTAGCCTCTGATGCCTATTTGACATCAGTTGACTTACAAAATGTGATACAGATCATGACTCCTGATCAAACGTAAGTGATTGAAAGTCACCTTTTTGCTGGTAGTTTTAATTTACGGGAGTGTGGTAAGCATTTTTTTTCTACACTACACTGTAGAAAAAAATGTACAGGAGGTATTAATATGTCCCTCCTGCATATTAATTCTGCAGGAGGTATGGATAAGAAACATCCTGCAGTACACGGCATCATTCCCTGAAAAGTCAAGAATGAAACAACTGAAACTTCTAGTGCAAAATGAGCAGCATGCATTTTTTCTTTTTACAGAATTCAAGATGGATAACCATTAGCAGTTCTGTAGTAAATACATTTAACTCTTATTATTTTTTCTTGGAACCAAGACAATAACTAAAGGTGGTTGAAGTAAATACTGACAAATTTTAATGGCTGCTGCAAGTTTTCCACCCATGCTGAGAACTAAAAAACATACTCCCTCGTGGGCAGT